GCTCAGGATCCATAAGATTCACATGGTGAACGTACAAGCAATGAAAATTAAAAGGAGACCTTCGGTGGATTTACTGCACTGGTGCTGGCTAATCCCATGGGAATAAAAAAGAAGACCAGTACTTGTCGTCTTCTATACGAGAAAGTGTCTACTTAACTGTAATGTATCTAAAGTATGTTAGGCGGAAGAAAAGAGAGGAGACATCGATAAAACAACAGGAAACTCGGCAACCAATAATAATGGTTAGAGCAGTATTTGTCCTTGCAGCAGGGAAAGTGCCAGTGGCGATAATGGCAGCAGTGTCGACGGCTCAACTAATAGTAGTTGTTGTTGCTGTAGTAGCATTTCTAGTGGATATGGGAGCACTAGTACCCATGGTAACAAACATTAGTATAATACTAAGACTGTTGACCGTGGTGGTAGTGGTGATATCAGAGGTTGTATCAATAGCAATACTGGTGACGTGAGTACGGTGGTTGATGTGGTTGTCGTCGCAGTTGTAGTAGTACTAGTGGTTGCAATGCGACGGGACCGGTGCATACGTGATAGTGCGCGATAAAACAAGATGGGTGTCATGGTAATATGCAATTCGTGCGTCACTGTGATCGTGAACTGCGTCGGGACGCCTGCGCTCAGAAGAATGAACTAAGAGTTGCCCCTTTGGGCCCTGTCAGAAGATCGGAGTCTTGCGTCAGCCAAAAGGAGTAACATCATGATGGTGGAAGTAGAAAAGACGAACGTACTGGAGCATGCCTGCATCCCCTCCAAACCTACCATGGATGGACAAGCGTAAGACGACCTCGCCATCATCATTACTTTTGCAACGTGCATTATAAGAGCAGACACATGTAATTGAAAGCAGGGAGAGTACATGGTCGGTGATAGCCAGCAACTCTCCCTTCACTATGCGGTGGAGTTCATAGAATATTGACCTTGGTGTAGCCGTAATGTCAAGGAGAATGTAGCCCGCCTATCAACATCTGTAAAGTAGAGCCGATACTCCGGGTGGCGGCGCTGAACAAACAACGCTATGTCGGCATCCGCATCGCGTACAGTTCAACTGGACACATGAAGCAATACAACAGTTAGTGATCCGTCAAGCAATTGAGGCTTAATTACAGCAAAGAGATCCAATACATGTGGAATGCCGCGCCAATCGGTGGATCTATGCATTGCCCAAAACAAATTAACGTGGCATCTATAGACATCTGATACATACTCACTTCATCCAACCGAGTGAACGGTACCATGATCACAGCTCGATTGAAATCCATGTGTTTGTGAAACGGTTTCAACGATGGAAGACCACGTAAGAGCCAGTCTTCTGGCAATGGGAAGGTTTGCCGGACCAGTGGCGAGTTTGACGAGGCAGCGGTTTCGTTATCAATCCCTGTTTGACCATCCGCCGGAAGCAGGTCATGTTTAATGGCGTACGCTCCGAATGCAGACAAAACGTCAGTTAGTACCGGTAGTTTCGAGCTGTCCCGAGAAGCACCTACGATATGGAGGATGTGGGGAAAAGGGCCAGGTGTGAAGTAAGTCAAGGCTCATGTGTCCCAGCCATCGATCACCTAAGTAGTGAGCATGTGTTACTAATCGCAGGAGTAAGTGTATAAATCAATATTCACACTTATCAATAACAACAGCACCTCGGTACTTTGTAATGACGCTCAGTTGCCATATATCTGTAACGTAGAATAATATTAAAGGATGAACCTAGTGTAAAGCCGTAATGTCTAATGTTACCATTCAGAGTCAAAGTGCCAGTAGGGCGAGATTGCAAAGCGCTACCCATCGTGTGAGGATACGGTGCCATGGATGAGGCAGTGTCCTGCACAAGATACGCTCAGAAAAGGTAGCAGAACTAGGAAACGGCGGTGAATATATGCTACTTTTGCGAGTCCCGTCCCGAATCAGCCCATAGTTTCCAAATGAGGCGCGATGTATCGGTAGAAAGGTATGCGTTTCTCGGGGATGGAGATGACAGCGTGATGAATTAACTCGTTGAAAGGGAATCAAACGAATAACATATAACAATTATTCGCAGTACGCCTGTACGCAGTACCGACACTTCGCTGCCGCGCAACCACTAACGATCGCGCGTAGGTTGAAATCGTAAGCGTCGCCCTGCCCCCTATGCAGGCTCGGAACAGCGCCCACGGATTGTAATTCAGGCTCGTGATCCTTTTGGGCCGCTTACCACTCAAAATAACGATTGTGGAAGTGTACTTTCATTCAACCTACATGGCAAAACCTAATACCACGTGATCCAAGCCGACATCGAAGCAGCATTTGACACCTAACCAACGCATGTGGCGCATCAAAGTACGTGAAAACCATAGGCGATTGAGAATGCACTTTATCTTGCATGCACTGTCGCATCAAGACCTAACACAACACAACTATAAAGGTCGGACAACGGACACCTCCGTTCACGTGCTCAAGGCCCGACGCAGCCAGTCGCAACCGCACCGCGATCGGAACTGGACACAGCCATTATGCTAGCACAGAAGTCTCTTGTATATATACTTGCTATCTGTGCAATATTATCATTTATATTAGTGTCCAGCCGTCTGATTTCGCAACTAGTCTCTAATTAAGCGGCACTAATATGTCACTCACATATGGCAACATAAACCCACAGTGAAATGATAGAAGAAATGGGTGCAAACTAGATAAAGCGACTAAGTAGAAAGTAGGATCCACAGTTGACAGTTTATGTTCCGCTCCACATGTTAGTGATGAGAGTGAGCATAGCTATATTAAAAAATTGTTCATTCGTCATACTGAATATATCTGCGCTTAGAAAAATGCAGGTATTATGCGGATTGAAGGCGAAATCGCAGATGTGCCTAGTAGAAATTGAGTTGTACAAGGCCAATCTTCTGGGTAGACTAAGAAGAAGGTAATGTCAACGGTAATGGTACGTCAGTATCTTAGTATGTTACATCGGAAAGAAATCGGCGCATAGCGGCAATTGTTCACTTTAGGAGCACCGAATGCCTGCACCCGAGACGTACGATGAAGATCCTCACCAAATAGCTTACGGTCACAGCAGAGTACACAGCGGTAGGTACAAACGGTTGAGTACTTGGATGACAGCCATGTTACGTCTTGGACATTTGCAAAACAGTGGGAACACTTTGAAGTACATGTTGTATGGATAGATTGCGACGCGAAATCTCAATGTTGACCGCGATTCCCATTGAAGTGAACCTGGGTCTTTCGATCACGAGAAGCGTAGCTGATGCAAATCGAAATTGGGTGCTGCACGCCCGTGATCGAAAGACCCAGGTTAACTTCAATGGGAATCGCGGTCAACATTGAAATTGCGCGTCGCAATCCATCCACACAACGTGTACTTCAAAATGACCCTCAACCTCGTTCATTTTACCGTTGTGCCAAGCGTTGCCCGTGACCCGGTGGCTTAGGGGTAGTGGTCACAACTAACATCAACATGGTCCCGGGTTCGATGCCTGCTAACTCTATCTGATGAGATGTAATAACATTGACACGTGTCATAGTAGTGCAGTGTTTTCGGGCAGGCAACACCAAATTTTTATTTGCAGGGGGAACACTGTTTGACAGTAGGCAGCGGGACTTAATTGATGTAATACTGGGGTTGTTGTCGTGCCGAGAAAGTAAGTGGCGAAAATGTGGTATTGATACCTGTCAATTCTTAAAGCTGAGCAGAAAAAAACGTTCTTTAAGAATCCGCATCTACCTCGGGCAGCAGATGATCGAACCGGTCGGCGACAAGGAGAGCCTGAAACCAATGCACGTTTGTAGTACTATCGTTCATGAGATTTCATATGCCTCTATCCAGTTTGTGGCAGTTCATACTTAAATTTGGACAAACGCGTGTGCATATGTTGAATTCGAACTGCCATTGGACACGGATGACGCCAATCAATGTATATATGTGTACTGAAGGAATTCGACGAAAATACTCATACAGATTAGTGTGGCCAACCTAGAGCAGGGAAGCGGCACCTGGGCAAACCGGAATTAACATTACTTGGACAGGAACAAGGAGTTTTTGACGAACTAATGTTAACTACAGGCATTGCGAATCAAAGGCAAAGTTGATCGGTGCAAATTCATTGGGCTGATCAACAGGGCGGTTGCACAGGTGCAGTTGCACGCGGAAGAGAGGCGCGATGCGTCCGCTACCATTCGATTTAATAATTCACGCCAACAAGGCGGCGCACGTAGTACATTTGCCTGCGTGATGAGTATACAAGCATTTCAGGGGTTAGATGTTTTCTGAGCGCCGCGGTGTGGCCGCGCCTGATGTGGACGCCTGATGTGACAAGGTGCCTACCTTTCTACGTCCAAAGAAAGGTGCCTTCCAGTGTGGAGAAGACTACGGAACAGCCACCGCCTTGTGTACGTATGAAACGCATGATTTCCCAATAAGGCCGGAATGCATCTGTTTTGCATGTTGAAAGAGTCTGGGCCGGTTGCGTCGATGAAACCTGGCTCCCATCCACATGCTTCCCGGTCTTATTAATTCGGGCATACCCTAGAGACGGAGTGTGTGGATGGAGCTATGGATGGTGCAGCGCTAGCCACCCATGGGGCCCTTTAGGCACAGGCGTTCTGTGGCTGTTCTACGGAGGCTGCAGTGCCAAGTAGATCCGGGAACGGACTCGGCCAAATATATATATATATATATATATATATATATATATATATATATATATATATGCATATACATTTGCTTGGCGGCATCCGGTTTCGGATTTGCCTGTCACTGTGGTCAGCCACCGGACGCCTGCGTTTACACAGGCACCATGGGTAACATGCGCTGCACCACCCACATCTCCAACCACATACCCCATATTCAGTGTAAACCCGAATCCGCGAAGCATGCGGATGGGAGCCATGTTGCATCAACGGAGCCGACGCACTCTGTATTTAGGAATGAAGCACACACAAGGCGATGGCTGGACCATAGTCCGTTCCACACTGACTGCATGGAACCACTCTTTGATCCTAACACGGCCACAAGGACCGTGCACCCCGTCCCCTCAGAAACGACCAACTGTCTTCTGGAGCCAGTATGGACGAGGTAGTGGGTAATAGACAGGTAGGCAGCTTGTCAACATGCACGTCAAGCGCTGCCACACCGTGGTTATCAAGCAACAGCCAGTCACTTGAAACGGCAATAGCAAATAAAATGAATGGAAGTGAAGTTGGAACAAGACATTAAGGTTGAATAACCATAAGCGGGGAAATAAAGACGGGAAGGCTAGAGCAGCTGCATCCAAACCCTTACCCACCCTGCACGATGCAGCAGATAAGGCATCGTTGATTATCTTCTGCGGTGGCCAGAACATCAGGTAACTGTTTATGGAAATATTTGTAGTATTGCTTGGGCAGAATACTGTCGGGCTACCCAGGCCTAGATAGGAGAACGATTAGGGTTCTCAACCAAAGCTTTTGGTTCAAAGATCTAATCGCAGTGCAGCAGGTATTGCTGTGGACTATAAGGAATCCGTTTTAAGGAATAATGAGCTATTACCATTCTAACCCCCAACCTGGAGGGTCAAAAGGTTGAGTTTGTCTGACCTCTAACATTTGACCAATCTGGTATGAGTGGCTCTGATGGTGCAAAAAAGCACCATCCAGCTTACCTCAATGGATCGCTGAAGCACGAAAACCATTGAACCATGGTAAAGTCTAGTCTCATTTCGATGAGTAGACTACATACGTATGGGGGTACACTGTTCTCAAACAACAAGTCTATCAGTAACGATCGTGCCTAGGCTATAGAAAGCGCTTGTATGGTCCAGAACCATGAACCGTAGGTTCTTGAATTATTTGTAAATGGTAGATGAAAGGTAATGCATAAGATACGAAACGGTATCCGGTGTAAAGCGCATTTATGAGTAAGTTACAGAACAACTATATAAACGGAGTTATCGACAAATTAGTCTACTACTGACGGTATGTGGACGATATATTCCGCATCTCAGATAGTCATCTATGGACGGATGAATTAGTGAGGCAATTTAACTCAGACCACGCAAACATAAAATTCGTCCTTGAATCTGAGTGCAACAACTCAATGTCGTACTTAGACGTTCAGATTAGCCAAAGATCTGACGGGTCAGTCCACCGCACTGTCCATAGAAAGACAACGTGGTATGGGCAATATACCCACTGCCAGCTTTGTCCCGCTCAGCGAGAAACGAGAACTCATTCGGTGCCTAACCGAGCGAGCAAGAAGGATATGTAGCGATGACATGCTTTCGGACGAGCTAAACTTTGTACGAAGCCTATTCGATAGAAATGGCTATCCTGAGAGGTTCGTTCGGAGAAACATGGAGGTACGAGAAGCGAAAGCACAAGTGGATTCAGTAGGAAAGAAACCGACCTACTTATCGTTACCGTTCGAGGGGGATGGGACAGCTGAATCAACGTCTAGAAGGCTTTCTGCCGTAATCGCCCAAACGTACTATATAGCAAGCCTACGGCTAAGCTTCTACT